CCTTGTCTATTAGTAAATTCAAACTGTCCTTTTGTGTACATTAACAATTTGTTATAACCTTCAAATTATTCTGATAATCGTTAAGACATTTTATGGCCCTAAGGTAATGTGACAATTTCATATTCTTTCAATACCATAATGATTATCTCCGTTTCTTTATTTTTTTTCAACTATCGTCTTATGTTCATATGAACTTTTTTTATTTAACTGATGTTTTATTAACTTTCATATAAAATGACTTGGCAAGAGTATATATGTTGTGTGAACAGATTATTCGTAATGTATATAAGTAACTCAAACACATCTATATTTGATTGTTAGGTCAAATAAAAGTTAATTGAATTAATTTATTATTCAACTATTTGTGAAAATTTTTATTTGATAAAATATTTGATAAAATTAAGTTATTGAAACCTTCTGAATTAAGTAAGTATCATTACTGATTGTATCAGTCCATCATACACACAAGTGGATGAATAGTTGATTTTAAACAAATCAAAATCACCGAATCATACACCAAAAAATCATCTCTATTATTACGCAGAGTAGTTTTATCACATTTTATGCCGTATTAGCAGTAAGCCAGTTACACAATGTAGAACTTCATACCAACATACATACATACATCAGTTCAAGTTACCATACCACCACAATAGTACAGAGATGCAGCTGTCAATTCAAATCACATAGTGGTGGTAGAGGTAGTAGAAGCATGAGCACTTATCGGAAAGATTAGGATTTGAAGATGTTTTTCAAAGAGTATAATAATCCAGTGAAATAAATTTAGCAAGAAAAAAGTGAAAGTCACAAGGAAATCAGATTAGAATTTTGGAGAATACAAAGAGTGGATACACCTGCACCATTGCAAACGATTTTGAGTCACGTCATTCAAGGTCTCTAACCATCGATTACCATCATCTCGCAGACCTCTCAACCAAGTAGTAAATAGTGATACGATAGATGATTAACACTTGATTCAAATCTTGCTATCTTCTTAAATAAGTAGAAATTTCCTAAAGGACAAAGTACATCACCAGGTTCAGTCTGTCACTGGTTACACATTACTAATACGCCATGTTCTTTGCAGCGTTTGGTTAAGTATTCTAATTCCAATCGCTAAACTATACAGACTGGTTAGGATCTTTGTCATTAGAAGATTGTCACAATCAATTTCTGAAGCTCTTAACTGAAGCAATCCTCACTAAAGACAGTGGATGAGATTACACAAGACCATGGATTTATTAAAGTTAGACATTAACACCATTAGATACTGGCTCAATGGTGCGGAGGTCAGGCGTTCGCGCACAAGATCGAAGGTCTTTCGAGTTGAATGAGTCGTGGATCCTCACTGCGGATGAGTCTCTAGCACCAGGACGAAACTTCCGTCTAGTGCTTTCATGTTTCTGATTGTCGTCTGACAATCATTCATTCATGATTTCAAGAAATTAAATCACAAACACCAACTGATTTCAAAATATATTCACACATTTGTGTAAAACCAAGACTCAATTAAACTAAACACTCATCGATATCTGAAAGAGCAATATAACAACACCATAATTTGATTTCTACAATACAATTTTGAAAAACAACCACACAAGTCACACGAACTATTTCATACAAAAAATTATTGTATTATATCAAACTTTTTAGTAAAGCAATCATTTTTAAACAAAGTTAACATTAGAGTATTACAAATAACATCCATTCTCATCTTACTTATTTGAATCGCTTTATTTTGGGATGAAACGCATTATTCTCTATTCCTTAAAAAAACAAATTCATATTCGATTCTTGACGAGAATACACAGAATCTGATGAAATATATCTGAATCTAATAGAATTGTCAATCTTTATTTTGATCAAATAAAAACTCCTCGAAGTTTATCTTCGGTTAAAATCAACGGCTGATAATTTGGTTTATTAAATATGCTTTTTAATAATCTATTATTTGTACAACTATACGTACCCTTTTAAATGATGACATACTGTTTTTAGAACAGTAGAGATGTAAAGTGAAGACTTTAAACCAATCAAGGCAATTTATTGCGTCAGTCAGCCACAAACTAGAACTTATAAAGTACTATATCAGTTCAAGTTGCTATACCACTTTAGCACTGAGAGTCGATTTGTTCATTCAAATCCCATACTAATCGAGTTAATAGAAGTATTAGTGATAATCAAAAAGATTAGTGACCGGAGTTTTTACTCAAGAAGTTTAACCCGGTGCAATCAACTTAGAAAAAAACAGAGAATAAAGGTCATGAGGAATTCAAGAACAGATAAAAAAAAATGGATACATTTGCATCACTGCAAGCAAATTTGAGCCAAGTCATTCAAAGTGTATCGGTTACTATCGACTCGCGGAGCCCAACCGGGTAGTCTACACCTACTAACATGGCACAGATCACTTTTCAGTGTCTTCATGGATTTGTGCCACGTTTTGGCTTGACCGCCCCTTAGCTACCTTATAGCCTACTCCTAACATAACTCGTCGAGACAATTGGTGGTTCAATTTACTATCATTCATTAATCAAAATGAAATAGATAATGTATCGGCACATTTTCGGTGGAAAGGCACAAGCTGATAGCAGAAAGATTGAGAAGAGCAATAAAATTCACCGTCAACAGAGCACAACAGTGCATGTCATAATCGGTCAAATCGGGATTAATAGACCTTAAATAATCAATACAAAGCATTATTAGAATTACATAATAAGAAGTGTGATAATAATTAGATAGTGGAGAAGAATATAAATGAAACGAGGCAAAAAGTATGACAAGAAATACAATGTGAAAAATTTACTAAAAACATTAATAAACAAAATCGTCTACTAGGTTATATTCTGTTGAACAATGGATATGAATGTCAAAATATTTTTCTGAACACATAAGCTAGAGTTGAATGTTCAGATTCCCATGGCTCTTGGTATATGTAGGAGATGGGATAGAAGTCTTTTTTAGAAATGACAGAGGTATACTATAGATAGATCATACGAAATGATTCACTTGTATCTATCATATGATCGCTGTCAGTTTAAATAGTTGGATCATAGAAAAATTCTTAATAAATAGTAATTTGTTAGATTTATAAATAGATTGAATATTCATTTAGATGGAAAAATTCGAAAATAAAATTTGTCAAAGAAGAGCACAAACTTTATATCATTTTATTGATAGATTCAATAAATCGTTTTATATTATATTGTAAGTTTGATAAGACAGAATATGATTCATGCAGGTTTATAGTATGCTCTGAGTTAACAGTAACTTTGATGTATTGTTTCATTATGATTACTGTTAATTGAATTTTGTAGAACAAGTTGAATGTTAACCATTGAGTTTAAATGATTTTTGCTGTCACAGTGTATTACGTCCTAATTTCCGGTCACAGTCGGACTGAAACTAAGTTACTCGTCAAGTTGTAATGGTAAACAAGACCAAAGTTTTGATCATTCTTGAGGGAGCTAATCTTCTGAGTAATAAAAAAAGGCATTATTTATTCCCACAGTCATAGATGCCCTGACTGTCACTAGGTCTATGGATACAGCATTTTTCAGACTATTTTCGACGTCATATGGCCTATCCTGGCTTCTGGAAAAACTAATCAACCTTTTGGGTCAGAATAAATAATGACACGTCTTCTAACCTTGTCTATTACGTGCTTATAACCTTGGTTGTTTTATGTGGATCTTGCTAATTTTTGTCCGACCACAAATAATTAGTCCTGCATCAATGCAGTCAGTAAGCCTACTCACATGATCCCTTTTGCGTTGCTTTAACTATTTTTATTCTCAGATCTGTCCTCGTGAACAGTGCATGACATAGGCAATTGAAGTAAGCAGTTAGTTCATAGAATACTTATTCGTTTGTCTAAATTGAAGTCAAATCTCGGGACATAAAACAACCTTAAATTAGTTGATATTAAACGTTTTTCATAGTAATAAGGCAAAAAAGCAGGTACCTATTCCAATCACTACAGTATATTATTCTGGAATAAATCTCAGTCATAATCCTAGGCAAGTCTAGAAAATTGTACAAAGAAAAGTTTTTTGGGGATCGTTTAGGATATCAACAAACGTAATAGTAGCCCGTGAAAGTTGTTGTGCTCTAAAAAAACCCAAATTATCTAACTTTGCAGTCTTTATTGACCTAATTAAGGTCTTTTGCAAAGTTTTACTCAACCAACTGCTATCAAGGCAAAATGATATAGGCATAATAGGTAATTTGTTTTTGCTGATGAGTGTCAACGAAAAAGATGGCTTACCTCCAAATTGTCAGGCTGGAAAATTGTGCTCAATGGAGTATCACAGATACAGTTTTCAAGCAAGCATAATTCCTCCTGTATCTAGATGAACTGCCCATTTCACCAATTATATTATGTGCTAATAGTACTTATATGTGCAAAGCGGTTAAAAATTAAAGCGATAATTTTAAGCTTTAAAATGACTTGTAAATATTTTCTCAGCCATCAACGCTTGGCATTCACTGATAAATGCTGTTAGGCGGTGAATAACACTGAGTCACCTGTTATCGAGACACATTAACCTAATGGTGATTACTAGCCAAGACTTGAAAGCTGCTGTGCAGTGCAAGTCTTTGAACCTCAATACGTAAAGCCTTTAGCCATGTCGATTCTAAGACATTCTAAGTATTCGTTCACTAAAAAGGCGGATGTAAAGAGACAGCTTCTGCCTAAAACAGTGACTTGTTAAAAATGTTTAAAAAATCTCAAATAAGCTGATTACCGAAATCGCAAAGCTACCATATGAGGAGAGGATGGTCAAATTCAACAAATTTCCCACATTACCTAAAAGGAACAGAGGTTACCTGATCAGTTTTTAGATTATCTGTTAATAAATTTGCATCTAGCATACTCAACTTTTTTGTTTTCCAAGACAGTAGGCTTAATAGGAAACTCAAAAAAACCTTCCCAAGAAAACTATTTATCAGCTGAATATCGACTTTCTCATTGAATCACCAACAAATAAAACTCAACACCTAGTTTAAGCTACATCATTCCACACACTTAAAAGAAAATTAGATCAGTTGAGAGAGTACCATTATCAAGACAAAAAGAGGTGACCCAGTCCCCTATCTTTTTACGAATGAAACTAATATAATCACAAAATGAAAAGCCCGAGCGATTCCAAGCACCAAACCGTACATTTTTGATTAAAAGAAGTGAGGAAAAATACCACAAGAAAGAAACAGGGATGAAAAGGTGCAACTGGGAACTTTAAATGCACCTTTCTGAAAATCACAGTATTTCTGAAACCTCTTTAAAAATAAATTGTTGCATAGCTCTAACGAAGAAAAAATATTGTGAAGCAAAAAAATCAGTATTCTAGTCAGTTTTCTTTATGCATGTAGAATTTTTGATTATGATTAATCCATAAATTCTTTATTTAGCAACATATATATAGTGATATTCTTCCAAAAACTCGATGTTCTTTTCAATCTCTTTCATTTCTTTCTCAAGCCATAACTTTTGATGCACTTTTGGAGGAGTGTCTATCACAAGGGCTAAAGACTGGTACTGTTTAAATCTTTTTTGCCACTTGTTTTTCAGCTGATCAAGTAAAGACTAGATAGACATAGAATTTTAACAAACAATAGGTAGTTTTACCTTCTTCTCACTTTCTGTAATGATTTTCAGAGCATTTTCTTCTTCAAGTTTTTTAATGTGCTCTTCATAGTTTTTCTGAGCTTCGGAAGCGGCTTTTTCACGCTCCGTAAGGTATTTAGGCACCCCTCCAAAACTCTGTATTCATTCAGATTTCATGATGGAGTCTTACTTACCTTACGCTTAACATAAAAAGGCTGAAGACCAGAGTACTTGATATCGAACTTGTGACCTGTCCTCGTATCTACGACAAACGTTTTGGGTTTCGGAGGTACTGATGCGTCTGCCATGTGTCTGTTGTTTTTAATGAAATCTTTTTGTGAAACAATATTCATGTCTCCAGACTTTACCGCCGGTAAGGGTTCTTTTTTGGCTGAGAGACTGCATTTATAATAGCTGACTAAATATTTATGATGAACAGATTCAAAAACTAAGTTACTTTTCGATGGCTCCTCCTTTTTTCGACATAATTTTGGCACCGAATGGCTAGTTTTAAGAAAGTTTTGGGGGTTTGGTGGAGTAACTTTTGCGAGCCCCATAGTTTTACAAGGATATTGTTTATTGCTAAACGACGACTTTGCTTCCCTCAGGCTGCATGATTTATATCTAACAATGGTTAAGCAAAAAGGCTGAATCGAAATTACCTTGGCAAAGTAGGTTTGGGTGGTTCTTCAAATGGGATTAGATTGAATATGCTTTCTTTTACCGACATCAATCCTTTCAAGCGCGCGCGATACTATTGTCATGGTGTTAACATGATGTCCAATATCCAATACCATTTTCACGAACTACTATGAACCAGTTGACTTCTTTGCTCTAAATGCTTGTTCTTTCGGTACAGTTCCAGATGTTTCGTAGTGTCCAAGGCAGGAGGGTGTCTAGATACCAGTAGCTATCACACCACCAGGCTGGAGATCAGTTCGTTGTAATGTGGAGAAAATTAGGAAAAAATTCTAAAGCTAATGGCAAGATTTCAGAACTAAATTAACAAATTCATCAATAAGTTTATTAATTGGTAGTGAAGATTGTGCGAGGGGGATAAAGTGTAGGCAAAGGAAAGGAAACTGAAAGATATATCAAATTTGTGATCTGAGACGATGGCAATGATAACAACTAGCAGGTCTCAAAACATGCATCAGGCACAGCTCGTACACGAGGTAGATGATAATCTGGATATTAGTGCGTGTTTATCAAGTCTCTTCCTAAAACTATTCACTGAGGAGGCTGTGGTCTTTTGGGCTGGGAGGGTATTCCAAGGTGCAATGACTCATAATAAGAAAAAGTGTAGAAGAACCTAAGTGGTCGCTCTTTGATGCAAAATATTTTGAGGATTACGTCATGGGGAAGGGTGGTAATGCTTCTGCAAGAAACTCATGTTGGTATGCTTTACCGTTCTCAATATGATGTTCACTATCATCAGATCACACATGATTCTCCTGTTACTCTGGGAGAATATTCCCATATGCTTGAATCTATCTTCATACGTTTTGTTCTTCAACCTCATCACTGATTTTATCCTCTGATATCGAATGTATGTCTCTTTTAAGGACAAGAGTTGAGACGCTGTTGGAACCCAAAGTTGTGGGCACGCATGTCCTAAACAACTTTAGGAATAATTCATTTGTCCTAGCGCAAAGCCGTCTTCGCACACAGTGAAAAGTTACATTAGTCTTAATTCTCTGGATACTAGGCCGGAGATCATTCCATTGTAATGTTGAAAATAATAAGGAAAAAATTCTAACTAATAAGTTTATGAAATGGTAGTCAAGATTGTGACAAACATGAGTATCTGATAAATAATACCTTTTTCACGAGTTAGTATATACTAGATGATTTATTTGCGCTTGCTACATGTTGTTTTATAACAGTTCCGTGTATATAA